GTTAGCACTGTGCACTAGCATTATGCTGCACTATCAGCTCAGGGATCACTTTTAAATTCAAAAAACAGTACTGAAGGTCTCAAAAAACACTTTCGGGCAGGGTGTGGTGGAGCATGCCTATAATCCCAGCACTTGGGAGGCTGAGGCAGGAAGATCAATGTGAGTTCCGCCTAGGCTACAAAATGAGTTCAAGGCCAGCCTGAACTGCATAGTAAAACCCTGTCTCGAGAAGGCAAAAAAAAAAAAAAAACCTTTGTTCACGTATGAGAGATAAAATGAATGTGTAGATGTGGATAACTATAGAAATATTTCTATAGTAAAAATAAGGAAACTTTTAGAATTCCTTTAAAAATAAACAGCAGAGTGCTATGTTTAAGCCTCAGCACCAAAAAAGTCCATTAATGCCAACATAATTTTATGAAAATTTGCCAAAACAAAAAAGTTTAATGAGAAAAAAAAAAAATCATCCTTTATATCCTTACAAATACATGCAACTGGAAAAGGGAGGAATAACTTAATAGACTTTTAGCCAATTGTAGTTATTCTTAAAGGTAAATTTGAACATAGATTCTTGAACCTGATCAATAAACTCCTCATTCTGTTTTTACTCTATTTTGCACTTTAAATTGTCTTTTATGATTTTACAACACAATGAGTTGATCATCTGAACACTAATAGCTTACTAAGCTTTCATACAGATCTTCCAAGTGCTAGCATACATCACTACATCAACAAGTCCTATTTACAGTATTAATATCACCACTCATCTCAGAAAAATGTAAGTGTTAAAAAGCTTTCTTGTGTGTGTGAGACAAGGTCTCACTACATAGTTCAGGCTGACCTTGAACTTACTACATAGCCTAGGCCAGCACGGAACTCAGAGATCTTTCTGCCTCAGCCTCCTGAGTTCTGAGATTACCAGTGTGCGGAGCTCAGGAAGCTAAGGCAGGAGGATCTTCCCAAGTTCCATACCAGCCTGGGCTACAAAATGAATTCAAGGTCAGCCTGAACTGTACAGTGAGACCCTGTCTCGGGAAGGGGAGGGGAGGGCAGGGCAGGGCAGAGAAGAGGAGGGAGGG